ACTTGCTCAGCCGGATGAATTGGACTTTCACACTTCGTGAAGTTTGCAAGGTAACCCAAGAAGACAAGCGCGAAAAAATATTGTATTTCCTCAAGAGCCCACTGTGGCTTTCATAGCCCCTCCCAAGCCAAAACCTTCGATTTGTTTCGGCTTTCAACTGCCCTCATTCGTAGCCACTTCGGGAAAGCTGAGGTCGAAATCAACATGAATTCAGGATCTTTGAGCGACTGTTACACTAACTCTCTCCTCCCTCCACCCCCGTCGATCGCGAAGTGACATTTACCAGCTTCATCGAGCGACGAAATTCCTCAGAACCCGGCGCAAAATGTATCATCGGAAACCACCAACTCCTCGCAATTCATCCGCCGGAATAAACCAACGCAGCGGAGTTACTGGCACTCATCTCGACCAAGGGAAGAAAAAGAGAAGCGAAGTCGGGGCGGAGCCGACTGACGTGCTGCGACTTCGTTCGCTGTTCCCGAGTGCAGTTCTCGGTTTTTTAAATTCACGTGGGTCAGCTTTGTTGAACTGCTATCCTAATTCGGGTTTGAGCCGTTACGCTCTTGCGAAATCGAAGTTACGTATAATCCCTGGGGTGCTTCTATTCACACGGCATATTGAGTTAGTCGATCCGGTGGTGGGATGGAATCCAGTTTCTGGTTCTTTTCATGAATGGCCCAGGAAGCTGAATACTCGAACTAAGTCTATGGCTTGCTGGTGGGTCAGGGTGCGGTTCTAACGGGAGATGTTTGGCTTAATTCAAGAAACCATTATTATTAAGTTAACCTTATGTCGCTTGATGCCAGCCACTTAAGACACAAGCAACTAATAATTTCTGACACGCTACAATTTATTAAAATATTGAGATAGTCAGGGGAAAATTGAATTGGATTCCACATTTTCTATTTATATTCTTCCTGTCCTGCTCTGGATTTTAATAGTACATTCTGTAGAATACACAGAAGAGGATTTTGTACTGTTTTGCCAGAATTATAAGGCTGGTCACAGATGGCAGCAGACCCTTTTCACTAGATCTTTGTGGGGAAAAGTACTCTTAACACACTGAACTTAAAACTTCTGTATGATTGTTTTCCATTATCAAGTGTTCACATACTGCAATAAGCCACAGGCCAGCTTTTCTGTCTTCTGAAATCCCATTCTGTACAGTCTATGGCCCTGTGTACTTGTGAGCCCAGAAGATGAAAAAGGGTTGGGTTGGCTATTTGTTATATTGTTAAGTGTAAAAATGGATGAGGCATTCTCATTCAAAAGATAAGTTCTTGTCATACTTTTGCCACATTTTGCTTTGATATGCATACTTTTGTAATTGACATAGATTTGTGACCAGCAAAACAAAACGAACAGTTAAGTCCACTGTTCAAATCTGGAGACAGTAAAGCCTCCGATTTACAACCAAACACCACAGATATATTTACTTTCTGTATGAGCTGACGTTTTATTGATGAAATGGAAATTCTGATTATTTCATTTAGTTATGATTCAATTATTTGCTTAAAACTATGCTGAATGTTTTCTTGTATGTAACGTTCGTTTTCCTTTTTTCCATATATGAAAGCATTGCTTTTCCAAAAATGTTTTAAAAAACATTCCCAATGATTACCTAAGGTAATCTAACCTAAGATTACCTAAGGTAATCATGGGTAAAATGGCACTGTAAACAACTAGTGAATTTTTGGTTGGCTTTGCACAATCAATAATTGTGGCTTATTATGGCATTCAAGCCTGATATAGCAATTGGTGATTTCCAAAAATCAGAACTTTAGTTCCTAGAAGTTTGTTATCAACTACAAAATGCATTTCGTAAACCAAAATGGTTTCTGGTTCAGCTACAAGATAAGTCACAAATTGTTTTTACAATGCAGTGCATGAAAGATAAAATGGGAGCATGTATGTTTTTAATGAACCTTTTTGCTTAATGTGTCATTTACATAGCCTTATAAATATGAATTTTCCTTTAGAAAACTGAAATTAAACAAGCTTCAAATTCTAGAGATCAAACATTACAATAAATTATGGTTTATGAATTATAAATGGCTCATTCGCAGCCAGTTGAAATTTATGATGAACCATAAACCATGATTTATAAACCACAGTTGTTAAATTCACACAACAAATTTGCCAAAAGTAAATTAGTCACTTTATGGATTAATGCAAGTTGAAAAGTAATGAATTAGTTTTAGAGTTCTTATCATCCTCATTAATCATAATGCTCTAAACTGAGTTTGTAAAATGTATGAGTGCCAGAGGACTCTTATAATATAACTTGTACTCAGTATGTGGGGATGGGCAGGTAAAAACAGTGGGACACTGAATAGCATTTGGCAAAAATGCACAGAAAGTAAATTGGACACCATAATGCAGTACACGATGATGTTTCCATGTGTTCTTAAAATTCAACATTTGATAATTAGTTTATGTGTATGAACACGAAAACTGAAAATTCTGGTTACTGCAGTTAAGACCCAATTAAATTGCTCTTTATTAAAACTTTTCCCATCAGATGTGTTGAAGTTTTGCAAAATTCTTAAACAGCACTTTTATAGTTTCAACATATCTGAAAGGGAAGGGAAAGTTGGATTAGAATCTATCTCTACAGTTTGATAGGGATATTCTTTTCAAGGTTGCTGTTATGGTCTAGATGATTCAGTTAGCACACCAAGGACATTCATTTTCTGTATTCCTACAAAAGGGTTATATTGGGCCTTTCACCAACTTTTTATTTACAAATGCCCCCCCTTCCCATTCTTCTCACAATTAGACAAAGTAGTTCTCAATTTATTTACTGTAACTATTTTCTTTCCCATCTCTCCAAGTTTCTTCAGTTGTGTTAACACAGTACTTGACTCTAAAATTATTTTTGGAATGTTTACCAAGTCATGTGATTTCCAGAAGATGAAACGAAAAAAAATCCACTGCATCATTTTTTTCTAATAGTTTTTTCCCCTGTATTTCTTCTTCTGCTTATGCTATCAAGTCTCTTCCCCTTTCCTTGCAGTGTTGTAATCTGAGATAATAAATCTGTAGCCAGAAACTCATTTCAGTCATCGGACTTCCAGTTTGTAATAATTACAAACTTCTCCAGTCTGGTGCCCTCTGTGATATGGTTGTGAATTGCAATTACCTTTCGAGTTCACTTAAGCATATGTTGTATGTGCACACACAGAAATATATGGTTGTATCCTGATTATGAAAAGATGAAAAATTATTGTGCTCTTGAATTGACGACAAATTATTATCTTAAGCTTGTCACAAAAGAATTAATAGGATTGGTTTGTAAAATTCTACAAGTAATTACAACAGGTGAAAAATAGGTGTAAACGGAAAAAATGAACACTAATCAGGTGTTAGTATATTTGTATCTGAGCATGTATAATAAATTTATATCTTAAAACAAAATTTAAACATACCCAGAGACTTGGATTGATCAATACTTTCAGCAAGATCAAAGTATCTGAGATTTGCAACTATCTGACAAATTATTAAAGGAAAGGGGAGGGAAACTGGATACGGTGGGAACTGCTATCCAAGATCTGCTGAATGCTAGTTTATGAAAAAAAAAAGATTGACAATCAGTTATATCCATTTATCTATATCTACAATTAAATTATGTGGCAATCTCACACACAGTTTATGGAAGTAAGTTTTATAATAGTAAGAAAACCAGAATTTTTTTTTGAGAATTTGTAAAGACTGGGGTTGTTCTTCAGCATTGCCTTTGATTCTAAAACTAAGATGGAATAGTCCAAATCTAAAGAAAAATGGCAGCTTCTAAAATTTTTTTACAATCGTCATAACACAACTCTTTAAATAATAATTATTCAGCAGAATCTTATATTAATTTTATTATTTCATGTATAATTTCACAGGGCTATTTTTTGTCTTACTGACATTAAAGAATTTTTTTTTTAATCAAGAACTGGATACATCATATTATACATATATAGGGACTTCAAGAAAATGAAATAAAAAATCCTGGAACCATGCTATGGTTAAACTGTATTTTAATTGTATATCTGTGACAGAGTCTTTGTCTGAATAATTCTTATGACCAAATTGTGTTTACAGACATTTTTAAATTTGCGTTGGATTTGCTTTGTCTATCAACCACTGCTAATAATAATGTATGCCAGGACCAATTGTGGCAACTTTCAAATTTTTGAACAGAAAATAACATTGAAAAAAATATAAACTGCAGCAAGATACAAGATAATTTAGGCAGAATCCGAATAGTTAAGTCACTGTCCCAAACCCCATCCTACAAAAAGAACAGTCAAATATTATTATAAATTAAGGAATTAAATGCAAATTTTATACAATGCGCCTAAAATAAGTATGATTAGACTGAAATAATGCATGGCAAATACTTAGAACTTTGAAAAATAATATGTATATCCATATTGGCGTCATCGATATGCATTTTATCCTTGAATTACATCCTGTCAGCTGCCTGTTACAAATTCAGAAATTAGGCCGTGGTTATGAGCCTTTTCTCCATCATATATGTAACCAGTTTGATACAGATGGGCAACTTTGGAATGAAAATAGTAAAACTAAAGAAACCCTCACTGACCCATTTACAAAAAAAAGTATACAACTTTAATCTGAACAGCTAGGCTCTTATGAGACTTTCTCAGATTTATGACCAAATACCCCTTCTGTCAATCTTTACAGGATTTCTACGGGTCTCTTGTATTTGAATCATTAAAAGGAATGGAAGCACATCATCCTAAAACTGATTTAATTACCGTGTTTTCACAAATGGCATGTAGGTTTACAAGAAACAACAAGTACGTTCAATTAATTTATTTTCTGCAAATTCAAGTGAAAGACCAAGCACATTCTACAGCAAGATATTATTGCAGAATGTTAAACAAATACAGCACTGGAATATTCCACATCTCTAAACACATCAATCTTCTATTTTCTAAAAAGCCACATCCACAAACTAAGGGGAAATATTAGGCATTTTTAGCACTGCCAGTTAGACTCTGTGACAGAGCACCTCTCGTCCTTTTACAGTACAGTAAGGTAGCTCATACAGGAAAAAATGTAAAATGTGCTTACAGAATATCTACAACGAAATGGGGGGAATGAATCAATTCTCTGCAGAACAATACTATAAAATATCAAGCTTATTTTAGTGAGTGCTAACCCTTAAGCATAGTGGTATTCATATTTTTGCAACCACTACAATGTCTTTTTTCATCCTCTCAGACAAGCTTTGTTATCCATTAGAAGATACCAGTTTTACTAAGAGGAATGAGGCTTACCTTTAATGTGTATGGTTATGGTGGTAATGTTAATTTCTTTTGGGTATTCTGAAATAACAGTGTAATCTTAAAAACCTATAAAAGCATTTGGGATATTAGAAAACAGGTATAATAGAACTAGCAATTATGTAGCAAAGTCCCTCATTCTCCTAAATCTTGTAAGCTACTTCAAAAAGTAGCATCTTAGTATAAAGCTGGTAGGATAGGGCAATACAGTACTGTAAGCACACACGGGAAACTGTTCCCATCAATTTAGAATGTTTAATCAGCAAATTAATTCACATACATCCAGCATCTGCATACATTGCTTAATAAATCAATTATTTAGACCAAAACACTCAAGCCACATAATGGCCATGCAATCCTTTAACATGGTAGTCTCCGGATCTCTTGGATTGTAACTCCCATGATTACTGACCATCTTTAAAATTTATGGGAATTTTAGTTACAAATATCTAAAGGGCATACGGTTGAACAGCTCTGATTTAATATGAAAGAGACTACAAGGTTAAATTTTAGCTGCAAGTTACTTAAACCAGTGCATTTTTGCTTAGTTCTATCAAGTTCAAGTGAAAGTGAAAACATCAAATTCCTAAAATTTAGACAGTTTGTGTCAAAGCTGATTTAGTTCTCAAGGCAGCAACAACAGCAATCCTCAGAGACTCAGCTTCAAGAATTAGAAGGCATTTCCCCCATTATTTAATTTAAAAAGCAAAATGCAGAAATGATAACCTTCTTTCAATGCACAGGAAACTGTTTTTTCCCAGGACTCTAAAATTGGTACAGTAAAATAATATATATATCTATATACACCCCCAAAAATGATTCAAGACCCTAGATTTTCCAGAGACATTCAAAACAGTGCAGTACAAGACTTTGAGACTACTGTTAATTATGTGTTTTTGTTTTCAATACTTCAACTTGCAAGGGCAGACTTTTTTTTCATTCATAAGGACAATTTTTTAATTAACTACTTAAAGGATTTTCTTAAAGCACTATGTACTTACAAACAAGTCTTTTTTTAAAAAAAAAATAGCAATTATTAGATTTCTCAGCATATGCGAAAGAAAATCCCAGTATGTAACAAATAAAAGGCTGTCTTTTTTTTGTTTTCTGTGACAGCTTTCGGAAGTATGAATTTCAGAACTTTGAAGTGAGAAGGCTAAAGGTATTTAAAAAGTTCCCTGTACTTAATTGTTCTTTAACTAGAAATCACTCAAATAATAATATATTTTTCAAACAATGGATTTAAAGCTTGTTATGATCCAACGCGTGTTGTAGTGGTTCTTTTGTCAGAGAAGAAGCTTTTGAGAAGAAATACCTGCCCAATGCTAACTACAAGTAGAATGATGGCTTCACCTATTGACCAATAAGCCACTCGCGTGTTTAAGTCTTCTGCTCTGCTACGGCCTTGTGCTTCCCTCAGTCGAAAATGTGTCTGATAATCAATGACAGACTTTAGAGCTTCATGAATTGAAACACATGCTGACTCCATCTAGAGACAGAAAAATAGCACTGATTAGTAAAACAGACTGGAATCTAATTACTATTAATAAAATAGAAATAGAGTCTTAGGTAAAAAAAATATGGAAAAACTTTAAACAATATTTTATCATAGCATATAAGTAGTTTTACAAAAATCAAGAGATTATGTTCTTCAGAATCACATTATTGTAATACAGCATTAATCTAGTTGCTTGTACATTTGATTAGAATAAAAACCAATTCTAAAAATATTTCTTTAATGAAAGAGAGCAATTACCGGACAACAGCTTCTCAACACAGAAACAGTTTCTCAACAAGAATGACAGAACTTGATGCAAACTATACATTGAAAGCTTTTCAATTTTAACTCTAATATCTTGTAATTTTATCACTGAGATCCTAAAATGAAACATGCATACGTATAATGAACTCTATAATCAATCATTTAAATTATTAACTCCTCTAACCTCTTTCTCCTGAATAATTGAGAAGATTCCTTCCAATAATCTAAAATGTAGTTTGGAAATGGAATGATATAGGAGAAAAGGATTGAGCCCATCTCTGTACTACTGACAAAAGCTGTTCCACTGATATAATATGTTATTAAGCAGCAGTTTCAAAGTCCCTGATCAACAATGATGGCTGCTATACGTTGCAGTTAACAATAACTGGAGGTTTGCAGTTCTTCCTATTGGGCAACAGTAAAAACCATACGCTTTAGGGAGTGCTTTGCACAATACTAGCCAAGACTTTGGTTGCCGTTTATTAACTTGTTCCTTCTCAGAGGACAGCTGGTACTAAAGCTGCAGAAATCTGATGTTTTCATCTGCCTTCTTATCCCACCTTTCATTCAAGTTAGCACTCTTATTTCATCTTTCCTGTTTGCAAATTGGAAGAAAAATGAATTGTTCATTGTAATGGAGTTTAAAATTCAGAGGTCCTTACAAACCATTCAAGCAATATCAAATTGCAATTTATAAAAATATTTACTTAGGTAAATAAAAAGGTGACAAATGACATCCTCCCTTGTATTCCCATTTTTGATGAAGTGAGAATGTCACTCAATTAACTGGCCATATGGTCATTCTATTAGACAAAAATAAAATTTCTGAAGTTCTATAAACTGACTCTAGTATATTTTAGGATGAAGATAGCACATTACTGTGTACTCAGAATTCACCATACCTGAGTAAGTGCAGTGACTCTGTTTTCACTAGGAAAGAGAGGTGGATCATCCCCAACTTGGAAGTCAAAGTATACTGTTTTGTGTGTAAAAGTTGAAAACTCATTGCTGAAACAAAACTTATATGTTCCATTTCTAGATGCAGTAAAGGTAAAAGTATCATACTGTTTCTTCATTTCTTTATATAGCACAGCCCCATCTGGATCTTCTAAGCGGCAATCAACATCATAGTGTCCTCCAGTAATCACCTGTGGAATAAAGAAAACTGGCATTTGGAACAATAGTAACTGATGCTATTCTTATCAGTTAAAGTAGTATCTTTACAAAGCAAATATACTAAATAGCACATTGTTTAAAACTTCAGCAAGGGAAATTAAATATATTGCAATCACAACTAAGTCAAAGGCAACTTCAAACATTTTGTTGCATTTCACATTTTTGCACTTGTAGTAATTATTTGGACCAAATAATAATTGAAAAATAACCATAAAAGTTATCAAGTTAAAATGAAAACACATCACTTAAGGATAACTCAATTCAAATTGGTTAAAACTATTAAGGCCACAATTTTTTTGAACTTCTTGCTACTATAAATAAAATCCTATCATATCTAAAACTAGATGCACGTTTATAAAAGACTGACATAGGCCTTACATTTTAGTGAAAGAAAAGAGGATGACCAGCAGCAAGGTATAGTTTCTCCATTACAGCACCTGCTAGAAGGCATGAAAGGCCAAATCGGCAACAGATGATCCTGGAAAAATCCTATCTATGAAGTCAGTAAGAATTGAAACTGATCTGACAGTATGTAATCAATGAAAAATGCAAAAAAAAGGGGGAACATTAAAACCTGCAGCACTTCTGAAAAAGTTATTCATTCTCTAAATTGAGGAAGCCCATTCATCTTGCATTTGCACAAACACAATCTCATATGCATGTATGACCTTATTAAAAGATAAATGTTCATGAATAGAGGGTTCCTTTCCATTTTTGGAAAGCTTTTGGCTTAGTAAGGATATGTTGTTATGAAAGAATAGGGCAACTTTTGCTATTTTGCCTAACATTTATTAACCTTCTTACAAAATAATTAGTGTAAAGGAATCAGCAGCTGAAGGTAAAAACAGACAAGGTTATCTCCATATCAATTATGAGAAGTCTTACTACATGAAATAGATGGTTCTTATAGAAACCAAATCCATGCTATTGTAGTTTGAAACCAATGCATTGATAACACTGAAGATTAAGATTAAAGTGTTATGGAGTCATATTTTATATCATCATATAAATGATCAAGCTAGATAACAAAGTTATGTTTAGCAAAGCAAACTTTTGAAAATGAGTAAGTTCAAAATATATTAGACAAGGTTTTTTAAAAATAGATTATATACATTAAGTATTTTCTTCACTTATACATGAATACAATTCATTCTATTCTAGAATAGATTATCCATAAAGAATCCATGCTGAAACCAAGAGAATCTTTGTCAACATTCACTACCTACAGCTGAACAAGAAGCACCAGAGTTACAAAGCCTGAAATTTAGACACTAGACACCATGGCTAGCATTTCTGGAAATTCTGCAGATAAGAGTGCCTTTTAGATTACTGTAATTTGGACTTCACAATAGGGTTGTAGATACAGATTGCTCATCATCATCATGTTCCATTCTATTACCTTCTGTTCTAATTTCATAGTCCTTCTCTGAAAGAATTGGTATTGCTTTCCTATTAAGAATGCTGGGTGTAATGAAGGTTATTTTTTCTTACCAAGTCCTGGCCAATTTATAATGTAATAGAATTGCCTTTTACCTCTTTCTCTGAGCTGCACTAAGATTCATATTCTGGGTAGATGGGTACATGCAAGTCTTTTTCAGTAGTAAAATTACAAATATGGAACTTTCCAAAGGAGATCTCCATGTTTCATTTTTTAAGCAGTTAAACAGTTGTATACAATTGAGATTTTAATTTTACATATTTGATGTTTTAATTTTAATAATGCCATTAAGTTTTATTTTATGGCAGGCTGATAGGTATTTTTCTACTTTCCTGGTTAAGACAAAATGCATTTGAATGTGCAATAAATGAATATAAACCCTAAGAAATATTGTTCATGAATAAAAGCAAAGATAAACATTAGATCAATGAATCTCTGCCATATAAATATAAGAAATATTGTGGTTAGTATTTTGGAAAAAGCAAAGTAATAAAAGAAAATTAATTCTATTCTCAAGATTCTTTTCTTGTATCAGAATTTTAGATAAAATTTCCTAATAAGAAACTTAATATCAAATAATAGCACCGTTTCCATAAAAATAATGTGATGGCAAGAGGATCAATGTTACGGAGGCTCCCAAAAAAGGATAAAACATCCCATTTCAGACATAAATATGGGAAGCACAACCAGCATTATTGGTAAGCATTTTATTCCTAGTATTCTACTGGAGGAAATGTTCTTCTTTGCATAAAGAGCCCATTAACAATGAAATATTTATTCAAAACATTGTCCCATATCCCCATATGAAGACATCACCAAGATTACCAGCCAACTGTCTACTCAAATAACAGGTTAGTTGAGAAATGCAGAACTGAAAAGCACCTAGTCATATGACATTAAATCACTCTATCTTTTAGCCAATTATAACTTATATTCCTTGTTTTTCAATATATACCTCAGTAATTCTTATGGTAATATATTTGGTAAAATAATAAATGTATGCTTATATTCAGTCTATGTAGACATGTTTTTCCTCCCCGCAATAATGTTCAGTATTTTGAGTCCTAAGAATATGATTGGTTTACTGAGATTGCAGTTACTGCTGTAGATAAAATTATACAGCTCATTTTTATCATCACTCCTGTGTATCAAAATCTGTTAAAATATCTTACTCCATGGATAGTCGATTTCAAATATTTACTATTTCAGTTTGTTTTCCTAAATCTTGATAATATAAAACATTATCTGAAGTCATCCTGTTAAATGAGAATAACTGTCTTAATATTTAGTCCTGACACTAGGACTAAAAGATGACAGCAGAGTTGGGGATAGCATTTAACACCTCACCAGTAGAAAATAAAGAAGTAGACAGAAAGATAAGCTAATGTTGCTAAATTAGACACTGTTATATAGTTTCTTAGGATCAATGAAGCCAAACTGATTACATAACAATAGTACTTCCTCTGTTTCTATTGAACAATGAGATGAATCATCATTCACACTGGATAGCAAATAAATATATTCTTCATATTTTAGGCAACATATGGTTCATGCATTTTAATCTCCATACAACACAACTCCATTTCAATGTCATATTCTAGAAAGACAATCATATAATGTATTTGTCTACAGAGTTTATAGTTAATTTTTTAAAATAGGACTGTACACTGAACCTTGCTTTCACTGGAGATGTTGATTTGATGGCACATAAAAAGTGCTGTTGGCAGAATTGCCTTATTCATTTTCAGAACAAAATTGTTGCTGCTGATATATGCATCTTCTATGTAAACTGTATGTACTTTATTTACCTATATTAATATTGTACATACAATACATATTTTGGAGCTTATATAGCCTATTTACTTTCCATATCATTTTCTTCTTTTAAGTGAAAATCATACAATCTCACTTATTTCGCACATTGCATAAAACAGGTGTTTAACAACAGCCTACGCCCAATGGTTTGAAAACCAAGTAATTATGCCCATAATGCCAATTATGCCCATACACCATTTTCACCATATTGCTGCCAGCAACAGGTAGCAAGTCCACATACAATTATCACGATCAAACCAGCAAAACAGCAGGAATAGTTTTGCATGCGTTTAAAACCACACCCAGTACAGGTACACAATAGCAATAGCACTTAAGACTTATTATCACAATATAATAAGGCTCAAAACGAAAAGGTCCATGGCAAATACCACAGCCTGTGGGGAAGAAGACGAATATCTGTACTAAAAGGAAGGTCGGTTAGGTGAGAATTATCAATGGGGCAATGTCTCAACGCAGAACTCGCAGTCCTTAAGTGGGTCTTTGCAGAATTGTCTGCTACGTTTCCTTGACAGACTTCTTCTCCCGCCGCCTTTATCAGTCCTGTTTGACTACACACACTACTAAAGGGGCCGCTCTCAACCCCATTCCTGCCCAACCAACTGAAACCATGCGAGAAAGTGTCCGGAGGATTGTTCTGCGCGTGGAGGGACGGACACCCATCCAGCCCAAGGCGTCCCCCTTGCCTATGAGGCGCCGCGAAAGGAACGACGATTTCCTTACCTGAAATTCCAGGGTACACTTAGTGCCCTGCACGATCTCCTCATAGAAGCACTGCTTGGCATTATCGGGCAATTCGAAGGTAATCTCCGAGGCGCGGACCGACCCGCTGAGCTGCAGCAACAGCAACAGCCCCGCCGCCAACCAGCCTGCGCAGGCACCAGGGCCTTGCCAGCGCCGCAGAAACATCTCCCACACCCGGGGCTCGAACTACAAGCACAGAAGGCGAAGCTGAGGGGGAATAAGAAAGCAAAATGAGCGCCGAGGGGAGAAGGATCAAATCGCCAGCCCCATCCACGCAACCGGGAAGGAGGTATTCTCTGAGATGGGGAGAAAAAAACCCCACTCTTACCTGCCAGGTAGCCGGAGACGCGCCGGTGCGGCGTGGCCGTACGAGAAAGGGGAGGGCGAAGAACGGAAGAGGTGATCCGGAAGTGAACGGATTCTAGTTAAGACGAGAGCGAAGAACTTCCGGGAGGGATCATTTGTAGACGTGGTGTTCGCTGAGGAGAGTAGGCGGTGTTGCAGAAAGGAATGGGCGGAAATGAAACAAAGAGATGGGCGTAGTCTAAGATACTATTGGTCCTGTGGGGAGAGATGGCCGCTCCTAAAGGGCGGCGGGAATGGGTGGAAAACAGGTGTTGCTAGGCGACAGCGGTTAAGATGTAAGCCGGCTTTTCCTGTTCCCCGGTTAGCCGGAAGTACCATCCGTTATACAAACAGGGAATTCTGGGAATACTAAAATTCTTATGCAGGGTTGGTTGCTGGATAAAAATGACTTCTGATCTGAAAGCAATGTAATAGAGTTTGGCTACAGCAAAGATTGACTCTTACTGATCTACCAGCAAGAGTTGAACAGAGAAACTATCTGTGCATCTTGAAAAATCTAATAAATAGAGTATAATGTGCCTATTTTTAATATCTTCATAGAAGAGGCAGTATAACAACTTAAGACTTGAGGATTCCACTGTGTATGACTCACAAAGGTTTAATTGGTCATTATAAAGGATTATTTATATTTTCCTTCCAGGACACCAGGACAGTATCAGAATGATCTGGAATAAAAAAAAGAATGTAGACATGTTTCAGACAGCTCTCTGGTTTCACATTAAAAATGGTATTTGAATAAAGAAGCAAAACTGGTTTGACATTCTATGTTCAATATACATGAACTTTTATCTTGCCTGCCTGGTCATAGAAGGAATGTAGAAGGATTCTCAAGATAGCTTTAACGAATGAAGTTGCCTTTCTATCATTGCTATCCAGTTTATGAAGCATCACCCAATACAGGGTACAGGGGACTTAATCCAACTGGACAGATTTTTTTTTAAAGAAATAGAAGGAAGATTCCACTAATAAGCTTTTTTTTTAGTATTCCAGCTTCCTTTTTCAGATCTGCAGTCTGAAATAAATTAGACTAAATTATTTGTAAAAAGACAAAATTGCAATGCTATTCTATGTGGGTTCCTTCCATACAATACATGGGAGAATACTCTAGCCAAGTAACAGGTTATTATTCTGGAATCTAAATTCAGCATTCCTTAACTTAGAATACAGAATAATAGTGTGGAAAGGACCTTGGAGATCTTCTGGTCTAACAAGAAACCCTATAACAGTGATGGCTAACCTTTTTGGCACCATGTGCCAAAATGGAGTGTGGGTGGGAGCACGTGTGCTCCCACATGCCGGAAACCAAAAAAACCACATGATCTTCCGGTTTCTGGTGTGCTTGGTCTTCTGGTTTCTGGTGCACATGTGCAGACCATCCGGCCAGTGCACATGCACTGGATCCACCTGGCCAGTGTGCATGCACAGACCAGCTGGCCAGTGTGCATGCGCTGGATCCACCTGGCATTTTGGGGGTCCTTGCGCTTCTCTGCCTGCCCCCTGTCGGGATGGTAGGACATCCCTACCGACGACCCAGTTCCACAGGCCTGGACAGGGAAAGAAAGTTGGGTGGGGAATGCTGCCTCCCTCCACTGGAAAGCTGGAGCTCCTTCGTGGTGCTGAAGGGAAGGGGCCCATAACCAGTGTTGAGGTAATTCCCTGTTAGAAGAATGAGCGCATACAGGGAGACGTATAGAGAATAGTGTTTGAATAATACACACACAGCATACAGATACACTGTACAGTAAATGTAGGGTTTTACTTTCAATAAAGGTTTAAGCAAAGTTCAAAATAGACAGTCCAAAGTCATTCACAGGTTAAATCAGTCAGTTTTCAATCCAGGGATAATCCAGTAACAAAGTCCAGTGTCAAAAACAGTTCAGTATCAGACTTACATCAAATCCAGTAATATCAGTCAATTAGAAGAAATGGAGGAACAGCAATACTTTCCAACAGAAGGAAACAGTGATACACTCACACTCTCTTCTGGGACTAAGGCTAAGACAAACCAGGTTTCTGGCTCCATCTTATGGCTGTTTGAGAAACCACACCTAATTACAGTTTTGCATTTTCTTAAAGATACAGTTTTAAAATGTTTATCCTGGTTTATATATTTCTAACCCAAATAGCTGTTAGGTGACTCATATTCCTAACATTCTCCCCTTTGGGGTAAGACAATATATACAACCTTAAATTCTAAGTACATAATCTTCACAGCTAGCCTTATGCTTTGTAGAGCCTTGGGCCTTTGTAAAATGATCTGCTATATTGTTTTCTGACGTACAGTATTCTAGCTTAATCATCTTACTTTGCACACATTGTCTCACATTTAAATATCTTAAATCTGTGTGCTTCGTTCTTGTTTCAACAGCAATATTTGAAGCCATCTTTATTGCTGATTGGTTGTCTTTATAAACAACAATAGAAGCTGTTACATCAATTCCCATATCAATTAATAATTGCTGATACAAAACTAAATCTGTACATAGTAAAGACAAACATGAGAATTCAGCCTCCATTGTTGACAAACTTAGATGTTTCTATCTAATAGATCTCTCATATCTAATCAATGTTTTTCCCAGTAATACAGCAGTACCCGATGTAGATTTACGTATTTATGTCTGTAGTAAAACTTGCATCAGCATATACAGTTAAACTCAGTTCATCTTTAGGCTCCAAATACAATGCATAATGCATTGTTTGTTTCAGATATCTTAACACACACTTAGCAGCTTGCCAGTGCCTTTCAGTCGGCTCAGCATTAAACCTCGCTAATTAGTTAACACTGTATGCTATATCTGGCCTTGACCAATTACTGAGATAAGATAAACTACCAATCAAGGATTGATAAATGTTCTTATCAAAAACAGGACTTTGATCATCACTGTGACTAAACTCCTGGCTCATTGTGTCTTAGCCAGTTTACAAAGTTCCATTTTAAAACTTTTTAGCAATTGGTTAATTTTATCTGCCTGTGAGATCGTGTATCCTCCCCTAGTTTTATCTATCTTTAAACCAAGATATTGTTTGATTTCTCCCAATTGTTTTATCTTAAATTTCTGTTCCAACAGTGAGATTATTTTAGTAGCTTCTTTCTCAGTTTTGGTAATTAATGCTATGTCATCAGTAAATAATAACAATAATGACACTATACCATTACTTTCTCTTTTAAACAAACATGGATCAGCCATGCCAGCTACAAAGCCTATTTTAGTCAATTCTTTAACTATACATTGGTTCCATTCATATCCTGATTGTTTTAAACCATAAAGACTCTTTTTCAATTTCCAACAATCAGTTGTATTATCATTTTTGATACCATAAGGTTTCTTTAAATATATAGTGTGTTGCAACGGTGCATGCAGATATGCTGTCTCTACATCTAAATGATTTACAATGTATTTCTCCTTAGCTGCCCACACTAATGCTGCCCTTAATGTAGTAGCCTTCAGACTAGGTGCAGACACCTCATCATAGTCATTTGCTGTCTGATTGAACCCTTGTGCTACTAACCTGGCTTTAGGGGTAACAGTCCCATCCACACCTGTCTTCAGTTTATAAATCCATTTATATCCATTTATAAATCCATTTATATCCATTTAAATCCATTTATATCCTACGGCATGTTTACCTGGTGGTAACTTAACATTTTCATATACTTCCAGTCTTTTTAATGATTCTAGTTCCTTATCCATTGCTTCCTGCCAAGCAGCAGGATACAGTTTTAGTTCACTATAGTTACTAGGAACTGTATTCACTTGGCATACAACACTAGCATGATATCTATCAGGTGGTTGGGTTACACAGGGCTTACTGATGAACTCACACGTGCCACCTGCTCCTGTTCTTCTACTTCCTCCTGTGCTTCCTCTTTAATGGCTATTTGTTGTTTACTGATATCATCTTTAGGGACTATTTTGGTGTCAATAATAACATCATTGTTGGATTCCTGTTCCAGTTTATCCCACCCAACATGCTCCAGAAATTTTGCACTAGCGCTACAATAAACATGAGCTGTGCCTTGATCCCAGAATCTAAACGATCTATGGTTGGCCTCATAACCTGTTAGGAATAACATAGGTTACCTAATGTAGTTTGGGTAAAATAATATATATAAACTATGATTGTATGTTTAAGTGTGTGTCACTTTAAAACTGCAAAGCATGTAATTTTGGGTGTGGTGTGTGAAACCACCATAAGAGGGAGCAAGAGGACCTGATTGATTGCTGGCAATTACTGACAATTACTGGATTGCATGGTTTGTTAGCTGCGTGTTTCCCTCTACTGCTGAGTTGCTGAAGGAAGAGAGGAGTTTTTGAGTTCTTCATATCTCTACTGCGAGGAGATATATCACCAGACTGACATTTGTAAGTTTACTGACCTCTCTTTTTCGACACTGGAATTTGCAACTGAATAATCCCTGGATGGACTGAACTAGTGAATGATATATGGACTGTTTTTGACTATGCTATAAATCTTGCTGGAATAAACTATTTAATTAGCACTGTGTATCTGTTTTACTGAGTGTAAACTACAAAAACGTTTATCTCACATATTTTGCCTGACTGCCTGACTGCCCTGCAGATTCTGCTAGGGTGTATCCCTAACATAACCCACAAAAAATAATTTCTTAGCTCTATGTTGCCCTTTCAGTCTTACTTGTGATGGAATATGCACCCATGCTGGAGCTCCAAATGTGTGTAGGTAACTTAAATTTGGTTTTCTGCCATGCCAATGAGTGAATGGCAATTCTCCAGTTGTTGTATTAACTACATTGTTTAAAACATGATTACTACACATTATGGCTTCACCCCACAGTGTTTCAGGTAAACCTGAGTCAAATAACATAGTACGATCCATGGCTTGTAATGTTTGCCCTCTTCATTCTACAAACAAGTTATGTTGTGGTCTGTAAGGTGCAGAACGTTTATGCTCAACACCAGCCAATTTTAACATAGTTTGGAATCTTTTGTTAACAAACTCAGTCCCATTATCAGTTACTAAAGTAATTACTTTACTTTTCATTTTTCTCTCTGCAAACCTTAGCCAGTTAAAGAAATGTTGAAATGTTTCTGTTTTGTTTTTCATAAGATAGCAGAAAACCTATCATGAGTAATGGTCC